TTGAATGAAATAATCGATAATGAAAACGCATTACGCGGGTATGCAAAAGTAGGGGTTTCCCGTATAAAAAGGCGCATTGAGCCCTAAGCCCATTGGGGTGCCGCGTAGAATGTGCGTAACAAAGCTGCGAGAGGCGCGAGAAATGAGTAAGTCTCCACCTGCCAGCGCGGGCAATCACCCATCAGTTGACCGCTGCGCTTTTTTCGAGCCCCATCAGATTGAGGACTACCTGCTCGTCGAATTCCCTTCCCGTGTTTTCATATCCTTACTCTACTTTATTTGCTGTTGTTCGTCCAACTACAGAACAAACGAAAGACCTTATCCGGAGAGAGGCGGGATCAACCTTTTTCAGCACTTCTCCTCACTATTAAGTAAAAAAAATCTCCATAACTCGTACTTAAGACCTAATTCATGAATTGCCATCAGAAAAAATTCCCGAAGCGACATATATTTCAGTTTTCTGTCTTTTCTGAAATCTGTAAATCCATTATTCTTATTCGAAAATAAGATGGACTAATCTGTAGTGATCTGATCTCTTTGAATTGATTACTTCCTTGATTTCTCCTCAATGGGCGATGGAGTGAATTGAGGGAGTGGCCAATGACTAGGTTTCTATTTAACCCCAAACCCTGGTGGGTAAAAGATTTACTCAGGCTGGATGGGATGCTACCTTAGAGGGCCATTTTCTGCTTCCTAATCACTACAGCGAATATTTGTGTGAGACCAACAGAAATGAACTCTCGTATTGTGATGAAATCTTGCAGCACGTGCGTGAAGTCATTTCGCTATTGCTGGGTCCATACTTCTCCTATGGGTCCCATTGGTCACCTCCTGTTTATTCTGTGAGCAGCTCTTCCCGCACCTTCACGCAGTTAAAATAAGATAAAGTTCTATCTCTCTCCCTGCTGAAAGCGAAAGTTCAGCGATAATTACGTAGCAGTTTTGCGCACACGATTTCTCCCGAACTTTCCCCGCGGAGGCGCTATAATCATGAAATTTATGGTCGGCATGGTCCGTTACACGCAGGTGACAATGGGATCTGAAGCTCCGCACTCCGCTGACGATAAACATTAGAGGGGCAGCCGCATTCGTCAAGGTTCCGAAGATCAGGTGAGTCCGGCACGTCATGCGTTTCGAGGACGACCGCTGGACCAGAGCAATCACCGACTGGATTCCACGGGATGTCAAGCGAACGCCTGGACGACCGCCTATGCGATGGTCAGACTTCTTCGTGAAAGCTCTGAACGAATGGTATGAAGTTCATCGTGTCCCTCGAGCAGAGAGAGTTCATTGGGCAACTCTTGCACGTTGCAGGGACGAATGGAGACGTTACTGGCGCCCGTTCGAGGAACTCGATGATCAGCGGTAGCACTGAGGTGTGATGGTCGGCACTGGATGTTGCTCCAGAGATAGTTCCCATTATTTAATGCTGAAGGCATGACTGCACTTTTCCGGCTAACGATCTAATAGTACGGCCCGCTTTTTCAGGCGATTTGGAGACAAGATGTATATTCATCCATTCACCTTCGTGAATCCTGGTCCTGTCATGTTTGAGGGTCCACACCTGCAATAGCCTGCCATCCTGCCCGTTCAAAAGGGGTGGGAATGGGCTGAAGGGGAACGATGGGGTACCATCTCTCAACTTCGCCCAAGTTGCCGCACCGCCAGGCCATAAGCGCCGCTTGTCTGCTGCCTTTCACCTGTGGTTATTTTCTGCTCGGCCAGCGTGTTTACTGCAGGATTTTGCATGTGCTGCACCTTGAGTATAGCGGAGTACGGATACGCCATCACGGTGTTTAACACCATTCCTGCGCCTTTCTTAGTGGAAGTGGTACGCTGATGCAGCCCCTTTCACCTCGCGCAAATGACAATGACAGTCAAGTTCGTTTAGAAGACGAATCAGAAGACATCTGGCAACGGGTTATCGTGAGAGCCGCCCTCAAATTTTTTCAACATTTTGAAGTTACATTTCTATTTGCTCGGTGCTCATGGTCACAAGTGTTTGCAAAAGAAGGGACTATAATACAGCTATGCAGTTAACATCCTCCAACTCTGCTACTTCCTCTCACTACTTTGTCTGCTCCGTGGATGAACCTTCTGGTTGTATACAGCAGACTCTCCTACTTGCCCAACTATTCGCTT